TTTTAAGCAATAGGTCCTTTGCATATGTTTTTGAGAGTCTGAAGGTTTGACTTACCTTTCACTTCTATACATTCCTGAGTATCTAGACTTGTGTTAGCAGAAATCACTGTTCTTTAGTATACATTAGCATCTCAAATTAGGCTACATATTTTCATAAAAATAAGCCTTCTGCACAATGAAGTATTTTAAGTTAAAAGTCTTGTTGCAATATAAAATAGTGGTTGACTCAACATTGAACATATGATTAGCAATTATACACTGCATGTGTATGTGTATACCATGCAAATCTTATATTTTTACCTTCTGTCACAAAATACATAACAAATAATCCAGCTTTCCTCTTCTGAGTATTCTACCTTCACTCATTTGACATATATGATATCCGTCATTCAATGTCTTCTATGTGCCAGGCACTTTCCAGACGCTAGGAGCACAACAGTGACCAAAATATGCCTTTGCCCAAGCTGATGCCTTAACGTCTAAGTTAAAAAGATTTCTTGTGATCTACCACTATGACTTTAATACAGTAAGTACATAATAGTCCAATTTAATAGGGAGCAAAATGTAATTTCTCATTGTTCTTATTGAACTTTTCTTCAGAAAACGTGTCTGGCTTTTTTAGGTTCAAGTTTTAGTTAAATAATGACTCCTGTTATCTCTCTGCTATATGTCTCCTTACTTTCTTATCTTACTCATCTTGTTTCCTTTCTAATAAAGTCTTAACTCAGTATAACATTAAATGTAGGCTTTTGCATGATTCTGATGCCAGATGAGCAAAAGCTGAAAAGCAGGGAACAAATGAAGAACATGATTTTCACCTTTTAAGGTGTTAATTGTCTGAGCATTTAATGAATCCACTTATAAGATCTCTAATTTTATTACATAGTCACAACTCTTAGTCTTTTTTTCATTCATAATTCTGTTAAAGGCTGTTCACTCAGTAAATACTTAGTGAGTTCCTACTATAACTGGTCAATAAAGATATAAAGATTAAGGCATCATCTCTAGCCTCAAGAAGCTCATAGTCTTAGAAGAGACAAACAATAAACTGACAAGTGATAAATACAATGTGAGAGACAGAGTGGTCAGGGAAAATTTATGAGGAAGTTCATGTGTAGTAAGAGTGCTTACTGGGAAGTGGAATATAAGCTTAGTCGAAAGGAGTGAAGATAGAGTAGCATGAGGAAAAGCAATGAGGCAATCAACAGCACTTTTCTTTTCCCCAGAAAATTACGAACAATTCCCTGTTGATGAAGTATTAATAGAAAAAAGTAAAGATTAAGGCAGAGCATGGAGTGTCTCATATGCATTGTCAAGAAAATTGGACTTTTTCCTGTAGGGGATGGGAGATCATGAGCAGGTTCTAGAAAGAAGAGAGGAGAATCGTCAAACTCGTGTTTTCTATCAATCTGTGTGATGGTATGCATTTGAGCTAACTGAGATCAAAGGCAGGGAGAACAGTCATGAGAGCACTTCAGATGTTGAATTAAAAGATGCTGAGACCCTGAATTATGGTATTTGAAAATATGAGGAAAAACATTGGTCATAATTTAGTGACTGAATAGTTGTGGGAAAGAAGGAAATTGGACATATGGTCTCATATGGCTGTGGATGGGTGTAGGGGGTAAAAATGAAAAGTGCATTTTTTCCAATGAAGATCAGAGTTAAGTTAATGTGTGGCATGAGAAAGGGTAGTTAATAAAATACACACGATTAAGAAGATGTTCTTGTTATCCCGATTTTATACTACACTGTGCATTTTCAGCCCAGAGGAATGCTTCTCATTTAAGCATGCAACTTTAGAGCTTTTACACTCATTTTTATCCTGGCTTTCTCTATTCCCTCAATGACATTTTATGCTGGAATCCTAAAATTGCTGTGTTTCTTTTTTTTTTTTTTTAAGATTTTATTTATTTATTTGACAGAGACAGAGAGTGAGCACAAGCAGGGGGAGTGGCAGAGGGAGAGGGAGAAGCAGGCTTCCTAGCAGGGAGCCTGATGCAGGCTCAATCCCAGGGTCCTGGGATCATGACCCGAGCTGAAGGCAGACGCTTAACCAACTGAGCCACCCAGGTGCCCCTTTCCTGTTTCTTTGAAATATATCCTTAGTTTTATAGTGTCTTCCTGTCTTTTGATTTAGTCTTAGTATCTGATACTGTCTCTTGGATTATATTTGTCTCCCTGCTATGGCCTCTCCTGTCCTGTCTTTGAACCACTCTGGGCCCTTGAGAACCCAGCCTGGTTCCAGTGTCCTGACCTTCTGCCTTTCAGTGAAGGGGATTTGGATTTTTTTATTTATTATTATAATTATTATTATTATTATTTTAAAAAGGGAGAAAGTAGGGGAGAGAGGGGTAGAGAGAGAGAGACTCTTAAGCAGGCTCCACACTCAGCACAGAGCCCAAAGCAGGGCTCGATCTCACAACCCTCAGGTCACGACCGAAGCCAAAGTCAAGAGTCCTATGCTTAGTGGACTGAGACACCCATTCGCCCTAGGGGATTTAGATTTAAAACAAATTCTGTAATCCAACAAAGAGATAAAGCAAAGCATATTGATAGATTAAAAAAAAAAACACATTATTTTTAAAAATACAACAAAAAATGAAGTTTGAATTGTGGTTCCCAAAGCAAAATAAATAAATAAATGATATTCTTATTTGAGGTGTTTGTAAAGAAAATAAGCTAATCAACAGCAGATTTTTAGCTCCTTTATTGACAAACTCTTAACTGATAGTTTAAGGCTCAAAAAAATTACGAATAACTTTTAGGGGATGCAAAAGCTTAGGAATGGTTATAAATGGTAAAGACATTAGTTGCAATGAAAATATTTATTGAGCATTTAATATATGCTACATGTACTAGGAATTTCAAGAAAAATTTAAACTATAAATAAGCCTTTGCTTTTGAGGAACTTTCAAGACAAAAGTGGAGAAAACAAATATGAAACACTAATGATAACAGAGACAGAATAGATAAGGAGCACACATGAGTTGCTGACTCAGTGCATTAGGGGTCAGAGAAAAGAGAAATGAAATCTACCCTGGAATATAAAAAAAAAAAGTTGTAAATAAAGAAATATTCGAACTAGATTTTGCTAACAGATGACAAACATTTCTGAAAAACATATGATGCAAGGTGAGAAATTATAATTGATTTTTGCAAAACAGCAAGTTGCACAGTTTGGCTCTAGGCCACTTTGGAACACGTAGAGCAGCCGGGAGAATAAAGCTGGAAATTTAGCTGAAATCAGAGCACAGAAGGGCTGGAATATGAGCCTAGGGAGGCTAAATTTGATTTAATTTTGTATGTAAAGAGTGAAAGTTTCTGAGCAGAGAAATGAGTAGCTCGTACATATGAAAAGAAAAAAAAAAAAAAAGATTAATCTGGCAATGATGTTTTAAATGGTAGTTAGAGAAAACAGCCCAGAGGCTGGAAGGCAAACTAAGGAGACAGTTCCGATTGTCCACATGAGAAGATTAAGGTCAGAGCAACGGTGGTGGGGAAGGAAACAAGGGCGCAGGTGTGGGATGGACTGCCACAGTGAACTGATGGCATTTGGTGATTGACTGGACGGGCAGAGCAGAAAAAGATTAAAAGAAAAAAGACTATAATTTTACATTCCAAATGATTTGAGAGAATGACTAAAACATTTACTGAGAGACTTCAAAGGAAAAATGGTTTAGTAATGGAAGATAATGACTGTATTACATAGCTTACTACATATGGAGTCGGGAAAATCATGTAGATTTTAAGAAAACAGTGTTATTGGCGGGGTGCCTGGGTGGCTCAGTCGTTAAGCGTCTGCCTTCGGCTCAGGTCATGATCCCGGAGTCCTGGGATTGAGCCCCACA